AATGCAATTTAATCTTACTTCTGACTCATACTTCTTAAACTTTTTTAAGACAGGGAAAGACTTTTTCCGGAATGGATTGGAAACTGAAATAAGAATTTTTGGCTAAAATCCTAGTATGCGTATGGCCTTGGCAAATGTCGCAAATACCAAAATGATTCATTTACTACTCCTCATAATGTTGCCAGATCCCGTATGTACCGTATACAAATTTTTAAAGCAATTTTTACATTAGGAAAAGTTTCTCTGGCAAAGTGATATATACTTATGTGGCAGAACTAAGAAATATGCCGCAATTTTTTTTAAAGATTATTAAAACTGTTCCACTACATCATCGAAATGCATAATATCTATATCATGTTAATAAATTTTTTACAATTTTTTTGCATACGCATTTTGCTCTAAATTCAACAAATTTAAATTAAAGAATATTTCAAATTTTTTTATATTATTTTTTATATTTCATTCTACAAGTAAGTTCTATTTTTATATTATTATAATAATTTTAATAGAATTATAAATTTCGTGCGTGAGCCTTAATTACTTCAAAAAAAAAAAAAAAACCTTTTTTGTGGCTTATGACTCTGTTCTTGAAATCTCAAATATGACATAGCAAATACTTCTTTTCTGTGCTGAAAATTAATGACTGAAACATGCAATAGAATTTTCTAAATATTCCAATTAATCGTTCCTTTAAACAGAGCGCACTCATTTGATTATAGGGATTTGCTATTGGCATTCGTTCTCGACAAAAAAGAACCAAATTATTGTCATGAGTACCATTTCATATCTGCAGATTTTTTTTAATGAAATTACAGCCTGCGTTGCAATTACTTTCTTTTCCGAACTTGAAGCATAGGCGTCAGATAAGGCTTCTTTTATTCGATGAAACCAATTTTTAATGTCAGTACTGCACCTGTGCTTGCCCACTATCTAGGATCAGATGCTTGTTTTTACCTTTAAATTAGTTTCAGACTTTTTTAGTTTTCTGCTCGAAATTGCTAGCGATGAGGAGAAGTAGAAAAAAAGTAACTTTTGCACAAACATAAAATGCTGAACAGCGGTACAACAAATTTATGCAACCAGGCCCAGTTTAAACAATTTCAGGGCCATCAGCTTGTTGGGATTTGTAGTCTCCCCACAGCTGTCTCTTTCAAAGCTGCATTTTCTAAAGAAGATTTTATAGACAACTTTGCATATTACTATTACAATTTATTGCCTTTAATCCTTTTATTTCGAAAAGAAAAAACACTTGAAAAAACTTATGTAATATCGTATATTATACGTGTTTGAATCTGAAGTTGCATCTTCTCATTAATCTGTTTTCTCCATATTTACATTTTCACTCTATAAAGTATTTTCTCCCTCTTTGCAGCATTCTTTCATGGTGTGACTGAAGCACACTCGGCAAGTATTCGAGAGGTCCAGGTTAAAGTCCCGGCGAGAACATTGCTAATATTTCTCATCTTCAGCACAAAAAAACTGAATGACTCTAAAATGGCACCAGAACTAAAAGGTAATGGGCAATAATTCACCACCACGATTTGGCGACTAGTCCGTTAATCAAAAATCGCCTTATTAAAAGGGGGAGTATATAAGGTTTTTCTCCCTCCTTCCAGCATACCTTTGTGGTGAAACGGTAGCACACTCGGTGCGAATTCGAGATATCCAGGTTCGAGTCGGGGGAAAGCATTGCTCATTTTTCACGTCTCCCGAAAAAAACAATTATGACTCTAAAAATGACGCCCGAACTAAAAGAAGGGTAGACAATAATTCGTTAGCACCGGGATTTGGTGATTGGGTCCCCTAATCCTTAGTCGCTCTTTAAAAGGGAGAGAATATAAGGTATTTTCTGTTTGCTTCCATCGTATCTTCGTGGTGTAACGACAGCTCATTCGGGGCATATTCGAAAGGTCGAGGTTCGTGTCCTGGCGAGGGCATTGCTCATTTTTTACGTCTCTAGCCTCCAAAGAAAACCTGTTGAGTAACAACATAATGAATGTTTTTACCCAGCAATTCGTGTTTTTTTTACAAGCTCTATTGCACTATTTCTGCTCTTTGTTCTGTTTTTTCCTGTCTACGGAGTTTTGTTTGCTTTATTCCCCACTTCATTACATTCTTTACTTATAATCATACTGTCATCTTGCGTTTCCTTTGAGCATTTACTTAATTTGCTTTTCTATCAGGATGTTTTTTTACACAAATCCATCTTATACTTTCTTTTTACTCTTAAACCGATAAGAAAACAGAGACGCGATCTATGTTTAATAAAGATATTACGCGTATAAAAACTACGGGGGTTAGAATTTCGCAGTAAATAAATATATTTGTATGATCATGTAAATTATCCAAAATCCAGTTTAAATACTGCAAAAATATTCTATATATGAAAACAACTGTTCGAAGGATGCAGCTTACAGACTAATTCATTTAAATTCTATATTTGTGTTAGTCTAAACTGAGAAAATCGGGTATATTAGGAAACATTTTGTCAGCTAAAGAATATAATTCCATCGTTTCTTCTAATGGTATTTTGAAAATTGTGCCACAATCAGTGGTGGCTCGTGGCTAAAATTAGTGGGGGTACTGTTCCAAAAAAATTTAGCCTTTGTTTTAAAATTATATAAAAGAAAACAAACATGTATAAAAAGAAAATTTATTTTGAAACTTCATGAAATCTTACAAGAAAAAAATTGAACATTTAATTACTTTAACCAAAATTATTACAGTTAAATCTTTGTCTAGTCATTTAAAAATGAAATCCATTCCTCTTGTTTTAATTTGCGAGAAAAGATCAATAATTTTCTCCTTGATCTCTGGATGACAATGAGGAAATTTTTCTTTATGAAAGCATGCAAGCGCATTTAGTCTTCCGAATTCCTAGTGCTTCTTAGAAAAGTTTTCATTCTTTTCAATGTTGAAAGCAGCGTTCTGCCTCTGATGTAATCATTGGAACTCTCAGAGAATTTTTTCAGTTTCGTAATTTCACAAAGAAATCATCTAGATATTTTCGAAGATAATTTCAGTAGCTCGATTAATTTGCAGTATTCATGGATATCAGACCTACAATAAAATACTTTTAGTTCAGTTTCAAGCTTTTCTTTTCCAATCATTGGATATGCTTCAGTGGTCAGTACTATGTATTTCTTCTGTAGACTGTTCAATCCTAAAACTAAGCATTTCTTGTTAAACAATTTAGCAGCTGCTAAGTGTTTAGTGGAAGAATATCTGTGCATTATATCAATACATAGTATAAAGTTACATATTTCCTTAGCTTCTGCCATCAGTGTCTTTGAAAAATTCTTACCGTACTTTGAGTTTCCGTACACACTAATTTCTCGGGATTGCATTTAGTTGTATGTTATTTCAGTATGAGGTACCTGATAAAAAATCTCTAACCAAAACTTGAAATTATCATCATTTAGATATTTTAAAATTCCTGTTGCTTTTGCAATAGTTTGATCTGTATTTGATGTTGACTGAATTTCAGTAAAGCCATTTTTTAAAAGTTGCAAATTTTCATGACTCTGTTTATGGTCCGTATGATGAAGTTCCACCTTGTGGGGAATACCACACGCGCAGAGAGTAAAAAGAATCACGTTTTCAGCAACATGCCAGAATTCGGCACTGCAGGACGAGAGGGCTCTTCTCTACCCGGCTCGCGTGCTGCTTTTTGGGTGCGCATGCCGCAGACAGCCAAACCCACTTTCTGAACTGTGAAGCGCCAGTTCCAAACAAAGACTTTCGTACCTTTTTTCACAATGTGGGGGATAGCTACTGACATTAAGCTTAAGGATTGTATATTGTAAAGTATAAAGAAGAATTAAAGACAAAGGGCACACTATATTAATATTAAAATAATAATAAGTGGAAATGGGGTGCTGCAGTTCCACAGTGCTTATTACGAGCCGCCACTGGCCACAATGTAGAAATATTCTAGAGGAAAAAACTACTGAACAGCAAAAAAAACTTTTCTGAAGCTAAACAGAAGAATTCCTAAATTTTTATTTAATACTGTTAGAATGTATCTCTTTTTTCTTTCATTTTGATGAGAAAGAATTCCGATTCGACATGCTTCGAGACTCTGAAATTTGCAGTAACCGGTAGCGTAACTAGAGTTCTTGGACCCTAGATAGTCCACTGGTTACTAACTAAAAAAGAAAATTCTTGTCTCTTAGTATACTCCATAATTTCAACGCTCTAAGAAAGAAAATAAAAAGTGAAAATGTTTTTTAGAACAAAGTTTAAGGAGAGTGAAAACTGGGCCTGACAAAAGTTGACAATTTTGAAAGTAGACTGATTTCTATCAATTTTCGATTCTTTAGAGAATTTCGTTACAAGATTTGAAACGCAGATCAATTTATTTAAATTTTAATTGTGTTACAGTTAAATGTATATTAAGGATTCTGCTGGCTTATTATATTGCTGCGTTTCTTTATGGATTTGTGGATTTTGAGTGATAACACTTGATGAAGAATGAAAAAACAATTTATTAACCAGAAGTACTCAGAACAGCTCCTAAAACACGTTTACAGTCGTCGAAAAACAACGACATGCACGCTGAAACAATCAGAAACACAACTTTCAGGCTATAACGGTGAAGACAGCTTCACGGAAAAGCACCAGAGTAGTACAGCTCCCAACTCGGTTCGGTCGTTGTACTCTCGAAACTCTCCACAATCCAACTCGCGATGCACTATAACAACACATACAAACATTAGAGACTTGTTGGCTCACCAAGCGGAAAATTCTTGTGAATGTAGACAAGACCAAATTCTTATTCACAAGGAAAAATAACATCAAAAAGAACTAGAAAGTTTTATGGAACTACCCTACCCTAGAACAAGCAAGTCCTTTACCTTGGGGTATCCTCAATAATACTCTCACATGGACCCCACACATCACATCTATTGCAGAAGTTTCGAGTGCGTGAAGTTAAAGTCAAATTCGTATCTTACCTTTAGGTCGATTCAGTTCATCTGGCAACGTCTAAAAATTCTTGGTTTGCGCGGGGAGGTCTGATTGCGCGGTATATTTTGTTTTTGTAGCTGTGTTTCGGTTTCGTAAGTCTGGAAATTAGCATGCTCTAAAACTATTCTAGTAGACTTCCGTTCAGTTTTCATTTCTTTGAATACTTTAAAAAAAGTAAAATCTAATAAGGGATTATATTTATCCGAGACGTGATATTTCTTACGAATGATAAATACAATTATTTATTAATTTTTTGTAGGAAAGAATGGAAAATAATTTTGAACAGTGGTTAACAGCAATTTGTTTTGAACATGCATGTAAGCATGAGATGTCGGCGACTGTAAAGTGTATGTAGGCAAATAACAATATGATTGTTCTTAAATTTGTTTTGAATCTTTAGTTGTACGTAATGGAGATATATATGGCTGAAGGACTATTTTTATACTCCAATTGCTTGCTGTGCTCACTTTAATCACGAATTAATATTATATTTAATAGCTTAACAAAGTTGCGTAGGATTTGAAATATATGTATTCGTTGTGTCATAGAATATTTTACAGATAATCCGTTAGCTTAGTTTTAACACATGTAAATTAGCGAAGAGAGCTGGCATAATAATGCCTTAAAATCCTAATTTTATGTATTCGCCGTGATTTCTAATTCGGAGATTTCTTACTTCCGTAGTCGCAGCCGAAAGAAAAGATGGGGAAAGTGCAGAATCGCCCACTTATTTGTTTGGTGCTTTTTACAAGGATAAGAAGAATTGGATTTCTGTCAATTTTCTTTGACATTAAGTGAAAATAGTTCGTGTGTACATGGATAATCAAGGGAGTGCACAATGCCATTTTGTCAATTCGGGATGTTTTTAAGTGAAAAAGGTCGATGGATACCGAGTATGTGCAATTCTTAAAAACGCGCCAAGCAGTGGGCGATTCTGCACTTTCCCAGTGCACAAAAATGGCATTGTGCACTCCCTTTATCCATGTTCACATCGATCTATTTTCATTTAAAAAGTCAAAGAAAATTGACAAAAATCCAATTCTTGTAAAAACCACCAAACAAACAAATGGTCGATTCTGCACTTTACCCGAAAAAATTTGGTAACAACCTCAAAACTGGTCTTAAGTTTTGCATGTCAGTGACTAGTGTTTGTTTTTAATTTTGTCTTCTTTCGAATTTAATTCATTTGACATGTCTTTATTTAGCATTTAATACTGTAAGTGTGGAAATCAGATAATTTTTTTGAAATTATACTTATTAATTTATTTTCTACTGATATGATGTACATTCTTATTTGTAAAATGTATTTTGTCATTTAATGGAATATAGTCTCTAGAATTAGGCTTTCACGTATTCCTTAAAAACAGTTTTTGGATTTCTGAGCCTATTTCCATCCTCTTCCCAATAGTTATATACAAATATTTAAGTTAAAAGGAAATCCAAAAAATGTTATGTAAAAAATCGGTCAAGTACACTGCTAAAAAAAATTAGGGGAGGAAGCAAAAAAGTGAAGAAAACCCTTTGTGTGATAGCCATGCATGGGCATAAAATGGAGAATACTGGTATAATAAAATGTAATGCAGGAAAAAAGAAAAAAACATTTGTATGGGACCCTTAATTCTTTGGAATGGCAGAAAGATTATGGCATGATGCTTCAGGGCAACAATTTGGTTACATGTAAACAACAAAAAACTTACTGTTTGGAAAGGATCCGAGATGCTTAGTATGGCTTGTTGTCTCCCTCTCCCGAGCTGCTAAGACTGCCGCGTACGTATTTGGCATGAATGCAATGATGTTATCGATGAGACTTTGGGGAATACCGTTCCACTCTTGAAGAAATGCAATCTCTAACTTTTGGAGAGTAACGTAAGGCCTGCGTCTGCAGCAATGTGCAATCTGAGTGTGTCCCAAACATACTCGATCGGATTGAGATCGGGAGAGCATGTGGGCCACTCCATTTGCTGTACTGTTTAAGCTTCAATAAAGCTACAAGACTATGTATGAGATCTGGCATTAGCCTGCATTAACAGAAAGGAATTGCCAAAGGCTGCAGCGTAAGGAATGTCGTGGAATCTCAAGATCTCATTTGCATACATATGAGCCGTCGAAGTGCCATTCTGAATGATATATAGGTCTGTATATCTGCCTATGCTGATTCCAGCCCATACCATCATACCAACTCGTCTGTAATGTGATCTTTCTTGATTGAATATAGGGTTATTTCGAGTGCCCCTTTCTCGCCATACCAAAACACGTCTGTTTTCATATTCTAAACTGAATTAGGGAGTTATCTGTGAACGGTACTCGACTCCAGTCATTTTGTATCCAACCTCAATGTTCAGCAGCCCATTTTCTTCAGTCCGCATGGTGTCGTGCTGGCAACGGAATACACATCATTGGTCTACATGCATACAGACCACCCTTATGAAGCCTATTTCTGATTGTTTGGCTTGAGATACTTAGTCCTGTTGCCAAAAGAAACTCTTTGAATTTGCATCATATTGGCTCTTCTGTCTCGATGAGCTGTTGACTGTTTATAACTGTGGATATATTGTTCATCATTTTCTGTGATACCATATGAATGACCAAGTTCTGGTCGACGTCGAACATGCCCTGTTTCTTGGAATCGAGTCCACAGTCTTGCAATGACACTTCTTACCACGCACACAGTGTCTACTACACTTCTTTGTATTTGCCCGGATTCCAGTCTCCCAATAATATACTAAGCCATTGATTTGGGAAGATCTCACATTGTCATGACACTTTCCAGTCACTTTTTTTCAAAACAAAAGCCGAAAGGTTGAATTTCACCTCTTAGACAACGAAAATAACAGCTTATGCAAAATCCCAATTTCTACGCTTTTGCTACACTTCTGACTATGGATGTTTTGTTTTATGTTAATTATTAGTAACAATATTTATGTAATTTTGTTAAAACCATGTGCTCCCCTAATTTTTTTTAGCAGTGTATTTGTGTCCAGTCATAGCTTTAGGTCTCAATCATATTATGTTTTTGCTAGGCGGGACTTGACGTCAAAAGGGACAATTTTCAGAACCCGCACAATTCCAGGAAACACAGGTAGCTAGGTTACTATTCTCACTTACTACAAAGACTTGAAACGCCAAATAGTAGATTATCGCTCAAATTGGGATCACGTGATCCTTCAGAAGCAGAACTTTCGTCTGATTGGTTGTCTCTACCCGGGACCTGAGACATTTTCGGTGAGGTTTGAAAAAATCTCGCGTAGCTGCAACATTGTTTCCGTAGCTAGGCGGGACTTCATTTCAGGCTGGGCTCTTTTTTTTTAGGAATCCTCCCGTTTAAACCAGTGCTACTAGAATCTCGTTTCTCAAAAAAGTCCCATCTAGCAGGGACTGTAGCCATGTGTGATAACCTCTTTATTCTGCCTAAGCATACAAGCCTCAGGCCTTGGACCCATTTTTTTAGAAGGCATCCAGATTACCTTGTTTGTGTATCACAGACAGCTGATATTGGGGATATCTGAAAGTATGCTGTGGGAAAGGCCTCAGACTTAACTTTAGACATTTACAGGAGTGCAGTCTGGATTTCAAAGAAATATGTGTATAAAATAAGTATATTCTTAGAAATTCTATACATTAAATGTGAAATAAATGCTAGTCTATTTGTTATTTGATGACCCTCATACTGTCATTTGCAGTATGTTGTATTCATATGTAGCTGTTCTTTTTCTGCTTTCCAAGATAATGAAATTAGATTATTATTTAGATTATGTTGCAAATGTCAGAAAATTCAAAACAAAAGCTTTGCAAAAGAGCAGTCTGCATTCAGTTAAAATTATTTATTTTAAACAGTCATTTTATATAATAAATTACAGGTAATTTAAATCACACAATAAGTAATTATTTAATTGGAAAAAAAAATGAATGAGAAGTTAGAATATCATGACACAGTTAAAAATAATTGTTTCCCAACTATTCAGATAATGTAAAGGTATTTAACCTCAAATGTATCTTGCTTTTTAGAAATTCAAAGTGTGGTTTCCCTGTTTTATTTAAATAATGCTTATTATATTTGCAAATTGTATTAGAACTTATCCCTTCTTTTCTTGCAGATATTCTTGATGATGAAGATATAGCATCTAAAATATTACTTTGCTGCTCAAAGACTAAAATTGAAAATTCTGAAGCACCAGCAATCAAACCCGTATTTTTATTAATATATTTTCTTAGGAAATTGCTTCAGTCATTAGACAGTTTTGCTAAAGAAAAAAAGTATTTTAATATTCTATGGAATCCCAGAGCAGTGACTTTAACTATACAGTTATTAGAATCGATCTACGTGAAGAATAATTTTATATCTCTGAAAAAATATTTTACTCTGATTTCTGAACTAAAACTTCTTGTAAGTATACAAGGGTGTAAATATTTTTCTGGTACTGCAAATTAAAATAGCATTTTAAAATATCATTTATAAAGTAAATTCATGTAAATGAGTTTGGTATTTTCTTGTTAAAGCAGCCATCGTGCTTAGTCACCAGAATTAGCAAACATATTTTCCCAAATTGCAATTTCCAAATTTTAAATGTCAGTAGATGCTTATGTGGTAGCTGCTTAAACAAGACAGTGCCAACTTCTGTTATCTTGAATAATATACAATTTATGTTAAATATATTATTTTTATTGCTGGGGAATTAATTGTCAAATTTAAATAATATTTATTTTTGAAGAAGTCTTCTCTATTTTTTTAGTATATATATATATGTGCATTTAAAAAATAAAGAGGAAAGACAAAATCTCATATAGGCCTTTAAATTCTTAATTGTAATTAAGTATTTCCCCTCTTCAAGAATACATATTGTACCACTTTGCATTATCATTTCTCTGTGTTGCAGAAACTCTTGGCCAGTTGCTATCCAGAACTTAAGCAAAGAATTTCTGAGTATAAGTACTCTAGCTGCGCTGTGCTCACTTACTTTCTTGCTTGCCACTCGTAAAACTATTCTCTGATGTCTAGTATCTTCCATTGTTAAAATGTAAGCATGCACGTATAAAATTAAGGGTTGTCAATCTGCACCCATTGTAATAAGTAATGTGTGCAGAATATGCTTCCGAAGAATCATTTACATCTAAACTAATAATTTATAATAAGATTTCAAATGTTATATATATATATATATATATGATAAATGTTATATGTACATAATATGTATTATACATGTGTATGAGCAATATATTGGTACTTTCTGATTATCTGCAGTCTTGATTCAACATACTGTAAAATTGCTGTGCTTTTGTCATACACATGCAAAAACAACAAAGCACTGAGACCGGGTTTAGACTTGATAAGGCCCTAAACATTCAACAAGAAGTACCAATCAATGATCCGTCTGTCGATAATAATGAGCACCTGGAAAAACAATAATGTTGTAGTTCTACTGTAGATAAACAATCTGAAAGTGACATCAAGCAAGAAGTAACGATCGATGATCTGGCTGTCGATGGTAAAGCACACCTAGAACAAGAATGTTTTACCGCATAAAAGGGAGGTTCAGCGAAAAGTGCCAATGGATGATTCGGTTAAATGGCACACTATCACTGATGATATGATTAATAATTTTCTTAGAAAGCCACCTGAACAAAATATGGATCTGGTAACAATCACTGGGAAAATATTCAATAAATGCAATGCTTTTAACTAAAAATTAAAAAAAAAAAAAAAAAAAAGGTATGAGAATGGCTAGTGTTATCAGCATCAGAAAAGAAAATATTTTGCTGGATTTGCAAATTATTTGTAAATACAACGACTAGCCTTTCAACATTCATGTTGTCATTCGGCTAACAGAGCATGAAAATTCTTTTATACACGAGGAATCCATTTTAAAGTTTACCCAGAGACTTAAAAGTGAAGAAAGAATTGATTCTGTACTAATCCAGCAATATCAAAATGAAGTACATGACTGGCGATTATTACAAATAGTTGTTAAAACAGTTAAATTTTTATCATCAAGAGGTGTGGCTTTTTTTTTTTTTTTTTTTTTTTTTTTGAGAAAATGAAACATTTGGCCTATGGGAACATTTTAGGTTGCCTCGAATTGATAGAACCAATTTGGCCCATTTCTTGTGAAGCATATCGAAAAAGCTGGTAATCAAGGTACTGGCAATGTGAATTATTTATCATCTGCAATTGTAAATGAATTTGTTGAATTAATGGGTGAAAAAGACTTTGAATGTCGTAATTAAAGAAGTGATAGATGCCAAGTATTTTTCAATTATAGTCAATTCTATGCAAGATGTTACACATATGGATCAGTTAACTTTAATTTTGCAGTATCTTGGTCCTGATCATGAACCTATTGAAAGGTTCATAAAATTTATGCAAATTTTTGGTCACAATGCAGAAAACTTAATTAGTAATATAATACAATTTTTGGAAGATTTAGGTCTTGATATACAAAATAGTAGGGGACAAAGTTACGATAATGCCTTCAACTTGGCGAGGAAATATTCAGGTGTTTAACACGTTGAGGACAGAGTGTACCACTGGTGGCTCACATCAGCTTTAGTTTTATAACACAGTTTTGTTAGATGAAAAAAAACTTCATGTGGTTAAAAATAACTTTTTTTATTGAAAATTTGAAAAGCTTTTTTTTACAGGTAGACTATAATAGACTTAATGTATTTACATATATATTTGTTTTTATGGGGTTTCTTGAAACATTTTAGACATAGTGGTGGTTCACCTTCACAAAATCTGCAAAATGATGAAACCCTTTTCAATTTATTTGCAGCAGTGTTTCTACCTCGTCAAGCAGATAAGGATTTATAACATTCACGGCATCGTTTCTGCGACTTTCTCGGAGTTCCAGAATATTTCTCAAGGAAATGTGTAGTTCTTCTTTTTAGGTGTTTGTCGTTCTGTAGGCATTTCATCCAAGAGCCGATCAATATTATTTTCTCTAAATTTTAAAGTATTAAAAATCTTGGTACTCCATCTCTTATGAATATAGCATGCATTGACAAATGATGTTGCGCAAATAAATTCTATGATAAGTTTTCTGTACCACTTAATGTTTTGCAGAAGAAATTGTAATACAGTACAAAGTCTTTAATCCGGACGTCCATAATCCGGAATGATCTATAATTTGGACCACAAAGCTACAAACTTTCTGCGCGCGTTTAATGTATAACAGACGCTATAAGCTAGGCTAAAATTATCTATTTCAGTTAATGTTGCAGATTGCGTTGTTCCTTAACCCCTTCGAGCCCGGTAGCGAAAATGCGCGCTTATCTCGGAGGCCGGCATGTCTTCGCGAAGTCTCTCCAGGGCCGGGGGCTTTTTTGGTACTAAGCCTAAATCCATGAAATTTCCGAAGTATCAACGCATTGTTTTAATAATGCTCTATAGAGTATTTAAATGGCTTATTGCTTTATAGATATTTTATATATATATATACTTTAATTACCTTATTTTTTGTTTAAATGCATATTTTTACACATTTTATTTATTTATTACTCACCCATTTTATGACTTTTAACATTATACATCTGAAAATTAAATATATTACTTAAAATTCTCTTTTCCTATGAAAAATTTTAAAACAGGGATCTACACACAGTCCTACGTTACATTCTTGCACTCGTAATAACTCATTTGCCGTTTTGGAGGATTTTTCTGGAATGTGAACCAAACGAAGCATCGTCGTCCTCATTTTCTTATCAGTCTCTTGTGAACAAAGTTTTGGAAAATGTCTCAGTTAATCTTTCAGAATCAATATCAGAATTCAGAATCATCTGAAAATTTTTGCATCATTCTTGCTATTTTCATGCTCTGTTAAATATTTTCGATGCTTCGACATTGCAACGGTAAAAACAGAAAGAATTCACGTCTAACAAGATCTAATTATTTTCTAAAACTGAACTGAAACCTAAATTACTCAACGCTTTAGCGCATATAAAAAACTTCTACTTACAATAAACAACTACCACGTGCGAATAAAGTGCGATTTAAAGAGACGTAATAAATCACGCCATTCGGAAACATTTAGTTCCCCGTTTGTTTATATAATCAAAAACACGTGTATGTGAGTCATGCTTCTCTCATTTCGAGTAGAAGGTCTAATGTACATGTATCTGAAACCATATGGACATACAGTGCCATCTTGTGGCAGAAATTATAGTTTGAAAAACGTTCCAGGACACTGGCACAAATACGTGACAGTCGGTAGTAAACGGGAAAATGCTCTGTCACGCCTGCGTGTCGGCCAAGAGGTGAGTGTGTTTGTTGCTGGCACGTAGACGTGACAGTCGGCGCGAAGGGGTTAATCTTCTAATTGGATCCAGGTTATTATTTTTTGCAGACTGTTAGAGCAATTTTATAAAAAGTAAGTTTGAACTTTTGATTATGTCAAAAAGTGTTTCCAGTTCTGGAGCTGCCAAAGGATCTAAAAATCGAAAGCATGTTTCGATGTATCGCTTCCGATAGTGAAGAAAATGACAGAGAGGTTATTAAAACGAAAAAATTTTGATTCACAAGTTAGTCGGTATTCTAGACACAGCAATCACAGGACTTGGACAGTGAAACTGAACAAGAAATTATGTCTGTTTATAAAATTAAAGAGAAAGTATTAGCACAAAAAACGAAGCAACTTAAACAACTTACATTGAAAGAAATGTTTAATAAAGTAAACAAAACAAAAAAAAAAAAAAAAATTAAGTTTTTTTTTTTTTTTTTTTTTGTAAATTTTGATACCCTTTAGATCATAATTGCTCTTTATTTCATAAATATAGTTTCATATTTTTAATTTTATAATTTCTGCATGCCATCTTACTAGATTTAAATTAATTGATCTATAATCCGGAAAAACCCCTATTCCGGAATGGTCGAAGCCCCGACGAGTCCGAATTAAAGACTTTGTACTGTATGATGCAATATGATTGGATATATCAACGCTTTTTTTTTTTTTTCATTATTGTAGTAAAAAATAACAGCTTTTAGTTTACTACTTGTTCCTTCAATCTTAGTACAAATAATTGTACAGCTAACTGTACAAGTAGTTACTGACTGTTTGTCTATCCATTTAAAAAATATAACTCCTTTAGGATTTTCAGCATTCACAATGTCACCTTGTTTTTGTTTTAGTTTTGTTACTGCCGGTAGAAATTTTTTATTTACTTTTACAGTACCACATAAATTCATTGATTTATCTAAAAGTTCTTCAGCTAAAGGCACTGCCGTCCAGTGACGCGATATAGCAAAATCTGCACCGTCCTCAATGTGTTAAAAAATAATTAAAAATTTTAATCCTACTGCAGATTACGTACCATGTTCTGCTCATTCTTTAAATTTCGTTGGAATCAACGCTGTAGAACCCTGTACTGAAGTTGTAATTTTTTTTCTTTACTACAGTCAAAAGTCGTTAATCCGGACTCTTCGGGACTTCGGCGATTCCGGATTATCGATTTTTACGGATTATAGATCATCAGTTTAAATCTCGTAAGATGGCATGCAGAAATTCTAAAATTAAAAATATGAAAACGTAATTTATGAAATAAAGAACAATTATGATCTAAAGGGTATCAAATTTACAAAAAAAAAAGCTTAATATTTATTTGTTTACTTTATTAAACATTTCTTTCAATGTAAGTTGTTTAAGTTTTGCTTCGTTTCATGTGATAATACTTTCTCTTTAATTCTATTAAACAGACATAATTTCTTGTTCAGTTACAAAGTTCCGCCGTTCAAGTCCTATAATTGCTGTGTCGAGAATACCGACTAATTGTCAATCGAAATTTTTTCGTTTTCAATAACCTCTGTTACTTTCTTGACTATCGGAAGCGAATTATAATGACGAGGAACTTGTTTTAAATCATATCAAAGACGGAGTGCATCGAAGATGAAATACTACATTTAGTAAGGAATTATAAGCCAAATAAAATAAAAACATCTGCCTTGAAGATAAGGATAGTGCTGAGACAGATCAACTTCCAATTCATTGTGCCCGCCGCGGCATTCCCCCCGCCGAACTGCGTGAAATTGATAAACAGATTTCGGATTTCAAAACATACTTTCGCTTTAGATCCTTTACATATTAGCAAATATATATCGGAAATTCTATTTGATATATAATGGAAAGTTTAAGCTTACTTTTATAAAATTGCTCTTAACAGTCTGCAAAAATAATAAGCCGGATGCAATTCGAAAATTAAGGAACAACGCAATCATCAACATTAACTGAAATAGATAATTAGATAATTTTAGCTTATACGTCCATTATACATAAAAACGTGCACGCGAAAAAAACAATTCTGCACTTGCGCACACTCATATGCGCAGTCGTAAAAGGTCTTACGCGCACGCGTAAACGCCTATGCGCATTGTGTCAACGTGGCGCATGCGCAGAAAGTTTTTAGTTTTGAGGTCCGGATTATAGATCATTCCGAATTATGGGTGTCCGAATTAACGACTTTTGACTGTATAAGAATTATAACTTTTTTCTGTTTTAACATACCAGTGGCAGATTATGATTGAAAAAGAAAGCAAGCAAAAACTGACTTTAAAAAATCGTTCATGTACAGGATGAGTTATTTGGCATATGATCAAGAGCAAACCCCTTCCACTAGAAATGAAGCTAAGCTCTTTATAAAAAATTTCTGAAGATTGAAAATGCACTAAATACAGTTGTGTGGGATATTATATTACAAAGATTAAATCAAACGAGTAAAGTTCTCCAGAATTTTATGGCACAATTAGATATAGCGTCACCATTATTAAATCAGTATGTATGAGGTAAAAAGAAAAAATGTTACATCTTGAAGTACGTTGTTAGATGATGGAAATGTACCTGAAGTAAATCTTGAACCACGTGATCAATATATTATTAACTGTCACTACATGTTAAGTGATATATTAATGTTAAACATAACAAATCGTAAAATTCCGTATGAAAAATTACAAAATAAATTTTCATAATTAAGACACAATAACACGCCGAATAAATACTAATTCAGAAGTCAAACAACAAAAATCAGCGTTATACCTACAAAATTTTGTAGGTATAACGCTGATTTTTGTTGTTTGACTTCTGAATTAGTATAAATTTTCATGTTTGATAATCAAACTTTAAAAAAACTGAAGCGGAATAACTGGTAAGGTATTATCCTTCTGATTTAGATGATTCCCTGATGAACTGCAACATTTCCGTTCCTTAGTAGGTAATTACAAAATAAATTTTCATGTTTAATAAACACAAAATCAAACTTTAAAAAAACTGAAGCGGAATAACTGGTAAGGTATTATTACCCTTCTGATTTAGATGATGAGTTCTCTGATGAACTGCAACATTTCCGTTCCTTAGTAGGTAAGCAAGCAATTGCATTAGATATGATGAAAATGTTAAAAAAAAATTAATTTATCATCTTCATTTTCTCATGTTGAGACAGCACTCCAAAATTTTTTATCATTACCAATTTCAAACTGCACTGGGGAAAGATCTTTTTTTTGTTGCTGAAGAGATTAAAATCTCCCATAAGGTAATTTAAATTGCAAATATAACACTGATTTTGTTGTTTGACTTCTAAATTAATGTGATGATGCAATCGATAGTTTTGCAAAAAGTAAAATTAGAAAACAACCACTGAAAAAGAACTGGATTTGTGATACTATGATAAACAAGAGACAGAACTAGATGCACTTATGCTATGAAGACGATGCGACATGCATTGAAAAGAGCTTTTCAGCCTATTCTCTAAGTGCATGGGACTTGTCTATGGTATTTTTTGGTAATTAATTCAAATTGCTAAAAAAGTCTTTACATTTTCTAATTATAAATTTAAATAGCATTTTTGTCAAATGTTGGCTGTTCAGATGTTTAGATGTTTAAAAGGATATATCCTTTTAATGATGAACATAGAATTGTCAGAAAATCAATAAAATGGACATAACAATATTTTGTCTGACCTGACCATTGGAGGGGGGGGGGAGATTTTATAGCTATTTTAGGTACTAGTCAATTTTTTTGTTATATATCTATAGGGTGAAAAATTGAAATACCTCCATAAAGTTCGGTTCTTCATTACTGAAGTAGTGAAGAAGAGGGCGCCCCCAAAGAAGTTTTGGTCCCAGGCTTCTAATTAGGCTAAGTTGGACTCTGGTTATACTACATTTTAATACTATATTTAAATTTTGGGGGGGGGGCGAAGCTGTAGCTTATACGTAAATCTTGCATTTCAAAGCACCTTAAAGAAATCCAATCATCTCAAAATTTTGTGTGCAAATCATTAAATTTTCAAGTCCAACAAATGTTAACTTTGGACATAGGGCACGTTTCTACTGCTCATCTAGTACCATATGAAACAGATAGCAGTTGTGGATGGTTTATCTTTTCTTGCTGGCATTGAAGTTCCATGGAGATACAGCCAATAATGGTATTATGACATTTTTGAAAACTTTATGGACAACTGGATGACTCTGAACATGGTTACATAATAAAGATACATGAAGTGTACTGGTCATCCCTAGCTATTGGCCATCACCTACACCATACAGATATGGTTGTGCCAAGGTGCTGGTAACTATGGTTGCTGCAAAGTATTCATTGGCAGAATCAAGGCTTTGGAAGGCAAAGGCATGCAAATGCGAGGCAAGATAAGATGATTCTATGACAGACCTAGACTGTCCAGCAGCTTCTAGCTAACATGCTGCAGCTTTTCGATACTACCTGTTGCACCTTCCACCATTACATGGTGCTTGGCTAAATCGGCTAAACCATTGTGCTCACAATGGCCTTATGTTTGTTTACCTTTAAGCTGGAACATCCACTGGGTCATCTGAAGTGATGTCATAGCTGATTATTATTGCTGTTAGCTGATTGGCATTGCATAGTGTTCAGCAATGAATCCCACAGTCGTGAAGCAGATTACCATTAGGTCTATGGGTGGAGGGTTTAGGTCTAGCTTTGCCAGTCAGCCTTTTTTTTTTATGGAGACACGCAGCCGTTTTCCCTGGTGTGAGCACTTATGACAGTAGGTCAACCTTAGTCATCCTACATGCAGCTTTAACAGCTCAACGATATGTTGATAACATCCTGTGGTCATTTGTGTTACCCTTTAGGACACACTATCCTGGAGCTGTTTTCTAATGGGATAATGCTAGACCCAATATGACTCGCATATCTTTGGACTATCGCCGAGTTGTTGATACTTTTCCTTGGCCAATAACCTTGCACATTTTTATTGAATACTACCATTCACTCGAAACATCAGTTAGTTGTTTCCTCATCAAATTTCTTGTTTCTTATAAAATACTTCTATTTATTATTTATGAAAAGAACAGTGCCTATGAGATGTAAAGATAACCAACAAATATTTTTTATCAATTCATTAAGTCAATGAGTTGGAGAATATTCTTGGTGGGTGCAGACAATCAGAATAATCATAAAATAATCATAAATTCTTTTTAGTAGCACATTAAAAAGCCTCTCAGATTATTAATGTTTTTCTTTTATTTTCAGGATTTATTAAATTTAATCCAAGAAAATGCTGATTCCTCCCACATAATTCAGAAGCTTAATAAGCATTTTCCTCGATGGAATACTAGCTATAAATCACTTATTGAAAAAGATTACTCTATTGAAGTATGCTAAAACTTACTTTTTAATTATTCTTTACTGTGATTTGATTTATTCATATTTAATGACAGCTTTTATTTGCCTTAGAATGAAAAAATGTCTCTTTGGATAATGAAATATTTAATTTTGTAATTTATGTTAAAGGAATGTGTATTTTTTTGAATAAAATATAATTAGCAGTATTTGCTGAATCTTTGTTTATGCACGGTCTCTGTTTAATCTTTCTGTTTTGTGCATAGTTCTTATTTGAATTTTGAATAAATAATCAGAGGTTCGTACGGTCCTTAAGAGTTCTTAAAAGTCCTTAAATTTTTTGGAATTGAATTTTTGGTCCTTAAAAGTCCTTCATTTTGGCCAAAATCAGTAAAAGGTCCTTAATTTTAATCATCTGTCTGTTTTTTACGGCTGCCATTTTGAGTGTGAATTATCATTTTGGAGGAATATTTTTGGCGATTCACTGACGTATATTGAAATGCTTATGTATATGGCTATCTTTTGAATGTGTTCATGGGTTATAATTTGTTATAAATGATGGGATACTCAAGTCTCTAAGCAAGAAGTGAAACATAAGCATTTCAAAATTCATTTTTTCTAATAAAGAGCTCTTAAACAATTTTCGCATTTGGGGATGTGAATTCTTTTATTAAATGGTTCTAAATTTTGCGACTTGTCAACATTTTGGCGATTTTAAGATCAGTTTCTAAAGAAAACTTTTAATTCCAAAAGCTAAGAATGTTTTGACGATTTTTTTTTAAAACATCATAACATTGATAAAGTTCATTAAAGTAATGGTAATATATTGGAATTAGATTAAAAAAAATATCATTAAAATAAAACATTTTTGGTTTTTGCTGTCATATTATAAAGTTTCATTTTGGCAACTTATACAATATTTTGAATCTGAAAAATAAACAAGGTATAATGCTATAAAGTATAATGCTATAAAGCATAATTTACAAAACAGCTCTTAGCAAAAGCAAAATTAGCTATGTAATTAATTAAAAGTGTCTTCTTTTTAATTTTTTCATAGTAAACATTTTTCCCATGTAATTGTCTCGGAATATTCAAAATTCTCAGAATATGCATCAGTTTTCTCTATAAAATTAATTTTACACTTTTCCCCTCCTTTTTTTTTTTTTTTCCAAAATATTTCTGGCTTTTTGCTGTTACAGAATTGGTTGGGCTAATTTTTCTTTAGTATTTTTGACATTGCGGCTTGGAAAATTTAGATGGATTTTAAAGCAAGATTTATAGAAGATTCGAGAAATATGTGACAAGATTTATATATTATTCGAAAATTAGAATAATATATAAATCAAGAAATAGACTACAGAAAGTTTGCGATGAATTTCTTACCTTTTGGGGAATGTCTGGAAGAACAATGAAGACATAATAATTGAATGTTTTACTCCTGTTACTAGAATCTTTTTCTTAACATGCTTATCTTCCCTTTATTTTCTCTACTTTTCACTAGACACAAGCATGGAAATATCAAAAATGCTTATGATCTTATCACTTGGGCAGGCATTATAGAGAGAGATTTTTTATTAATAAAGAAATTGAAAACTTACAATTTAAAAGATCCATCTAATATGTCTTAATGCATCATACACAGAGCTGGCACTAGGCTTTTCCCCATTTGATGCAATCTCTGTGGATCCTAAATTTGACTGCATAGTGCCTTTCTAAATTCTGCTTCCAATGCCTGCCCTAAATTCTAAAAGTTTTGCCATTTCTAGATTTTGTTGTTTGGTGTGTCATTAAATTCTAAAAATTCTGACACACCAGCTCTGTAACCGGCCTTTACCATGTATATTTCATATTTCTTCTGAATTTCATATTACTAAAGAAATTAAATTAGTCACTTATTCTATACATTCTAAATGCATTTAGTGTTTTTTTAGAAAAACAGAAATCCTTAACATAATCTAAAAATTCTAACATGAAAAGGAAACATGCTAAAGAAAGAAACTGAATACATAAAGAAAATTATTCTTCAAAGATATGTGCAGTTATTATGTAAATTACCCAATTGTTTATGATTTCAGCCTTTACTATAATTTTCCATTTCTGTTTCCTCATATGATAGAGTTATTGAGCCAGATTAAATTAAAATTAAATTGTATAATCTTTGACCACTAGTCCGCATTTTTAGTTTGAATTTGACTTTCTTCTTTAATTACGTCACCATGAGATGTAATTGACTTTGTTAGCATCAGAACGTGCCTTTCACATGGTAATTTGCTTCATTTTTATCAAGGGTTTTGGACTATTTAACTTTTACCAGATCAAGTAAACCCTCAAAGGTACATTGTGGAGAGGTTGACAAGTTAGGAGATAAAGCATGCGGAAACTAGCGAGAGCATTGTTTTGCATATTAAAACAAATCTCTAATTATTGTTAGGAAAGATGCTTAAAGAGAAGGAAATCAATATAAACTAGCCAAAATGTTTGGGAAGGCTTCAGATTAAAATGACAGATAAATATTTTGTTGAGTGTTGTTGTTACAAAACATAAATGTTTTGTAGCTTTTAATGTGTAATTATTCTAATATTGTTTAAGAATCAGTGCCATAAATTACATATATTTTAAACTATGAAATTTTATTAGATTTTGATTTTAATAGGGCTTTTTTAACAAATATTGTTAAAAAATAAAATTTAATAGTCACCATATAAATCCATAATGTTAAAGGTTGTCAAACTACCTAATTTAATTATTTATAACTAACTGCTTACCCTTGAAAATTGTCTCTACGTATTAAAGCGAGTTATTGCCTTTCATTAATACTCACTGTGGCCACAAGATAAAACACAAAAATGTAGAAATTCAAGTAAAACTTATTCTTTGCATCTAGTGAGACTTAAAATAATACAAAACAGCTTATTACCTCTGGTGCTTTAATGGCTTATTGGAACCTGAAAATATATTAACTGGGTTACAACCCCTGGAACTGTACACAAAGCTATGACACTAACTGCATCAAACAGAACCTAACTAACTTTCAACACTAGCCAGCTACATCAGGCCTTTCAGGTTTGTTCTAATCGGGAGGTCTCTCTATCTCTAGACAAATAGCAGTGGTGATAACATTGTCTTTTGTCATGATTGTGAATCATTCTGATTATGATGTTACTTCTCATTTTAACCTATGCCATTTGATATAAAATTTACCTGCTATTTACTAAACCTCTAGATCAGCGTTTCATAACCTTTTGACTAATGTGTACCATCTAAACGAAAATTGAAAACCTTTAGTACCACCACCACAAAGCACTACTACCACCACCACTCTTGAACAAAGCTCAGATTGCATAAATTTATGAGTGTTACAGAAAAACCTCAATCAGGATGTTGGGGTTTTAATTTTTGAAATAAATAGTTAAAAATACTTTGCCTTTTATGTGTACCACCTATTTTTTCATACCACCTATTTTTTCCTACCACCGGTTGAGAACCTCTGCTCTGACCAAGTATGTGACAAAATGAGACGTAAAAAAATCAACATAAAGCTAACTTAGTAAGATGTAAATATCACTTATCTTCTTTCAAATATGTCCAACTTATTATAAGTCTAAAATATTTAATGCTACTTAAGTTTATTTTATTCTCAAACTTATTAATAATTATGTTCATTAATTCATGTTTAGTAATAATGCATACTACTTAGGGAACTATTTTTTTTTAAGGATGGTATTACAAAAGTGGAATTCAGGTATAGAACAATATTTTTAATTGAATTTATTCAGTTCCCATTTGCTCATAGGTTCTTAATTTTTTTTCATTAATGGTCCTTAAAAGTATTTAATTTCCGTGTTCAGAAATGTGTACGAACCCTGATTATGCTATCGGTCTAATCTTAGATCATCTGGCTTAAATTCATTTTCATTTTAGTTCTAAAATTTTACTTTACAAATATATCATCAGTTGCATAATTTTTTTCTTTCATTCCAGAACCCAAAAATTCTTGTCAAAGTTGAAGAAAGTCATACACAGTGCCGTAGATTAGTCTTAAAACTTGCTGTAGACCAAGTGTACCGAAGAAATTACATGTTGGAAGAATATTCAAATGATGTGGAGAAACTGATTTCAGAATCCAAACTATACATAACAGATGTAATTACAAGTTTCATAAAGCATGCTGGTTCATCTGTATTAGAAAGGGTATACTTTTTATAATTACTTTTTAGAAATCTCGTAACTGTAATATATTACACTAATAGTATAATTACACAAAATACTTTAAGAACTGATGGCATAGCATTAAGTATATAGATATAGCTTAATATTAAAGCTTTTGTTACTTAGAAATTTATAAATAAAAACTAATAGTAATCGAATTAAAAGATTGTTACACAGAAGTAATAAATACCTTTCAACATTAATAATTTCATGTATAATGTTATGATAGATGTATTTTGTATTGATACAGATATGCAATTCATGTGCTGCTGTTACTTATAGTTACTGCAGGAACTCTTCTGTTGCATAGTGTAATACAGTCAAAAGTCGTTAATCCGGACTCGTCGGGACTTCGGCGATTCCGGATTATCGATTTTTCCGGATTATAGATCATCAGTTTAAATCTCGTAAGATGGCATGCAGAAATTATAAAATTAAAATATGAAAACCGTAATTTATGAAATAAAGAACAATAATGATCTAAAGGGTATCAAAATTTGCAAAAAGAAAAAGCTTAATATTTATTTGTTTACTTTATTAAACGTTTCTTTCAATGTAAGTTGTTTAAGTTTTGCTTCGTTTCATGTGATAATACTTTCTCTTTAATTCTATTAAACAGACATAATTTCTTGTTCAGTTACAAAGTTCCGCCGTTCAAGTCCTATAATTGCTGTGTCAAGAATACCGACTAATTTGTCAATCGAAATTTTTTTGTTTTCAATAACCTCTGTCACTTTTCTTCGCTATCGGAAGCGAATTATAATGACGAGGAACTTGTTTTAAATCATATCAAAGACGAAGCATATCGAGATGAAATACTACATTTGGTAAGGAATTATAAGCCAAATAAAATAAAAACATCTGCGCTGAAGATAAGGATAGTGCTGACAGATCAACTTCCAATTCAATTTGCGCCCGCCGCGGCATTCCCCCCCGCCGAGCAGCGTGAAATTGATAAACAGATTTTGGATTTCAAAACATACTTTCGCTTTAGATCCTTTACATATTAACAAATATATATCGGAAATTCTATTTGATATAATCGAAAGTTTAAGCTTACTTTTATAAAATTGCTCTTACAGTCTGCAAAAAAAATAATAAGCCGGATGCAATTCGAAAATTAAGGAACAACGCAATCATCAACATTAACTGAAATAGATAATTATTTAGCTTATACGTCCATTATACATAAAATGCGCGCGCGAAAACGTATTCTGCACTTGCGCACATTCATATGCGCAGTCGTAAAAGGTCTTACGCGCACGCGTGAACGCCTCTGCGCATGTGTCAACGCGGCGCATGCGCAGAAAGTTTTTAGTTTTGATGTCCGGATTATAGATCATTCCGAATTATGGGTGTCCGAATTAACGACTTTTGACTGTAAAACATTTACAACGTATTGAAATGTGATGGGAAATATTAACAAAATAACTTGAAGAACTTCACTGTAGATGGGTATTTAACAGTATTATATGAACTGTGCATTTTACTTTATTTGATAGTTCAGTTCTACTTAGTACAAAGTCCTATGACAATGGTCCTATGTCGGGATTACCACGATTCCGGATATTAGATCATCAGTTTGGCATGTAGAAATTATAAAATTAAAAATACGAAATTAGGATTTGTGCAATAATAGAGCATTTATGATCTAAAGGGTATCAAAATTTGCAAAAGCTTAATATTTACTTTAAACATTTATTTCAATATAAATAGTTTAAGTTGCTTGGTTTTTTGTGTTAAAACTTTCTCTTTAATTCTGTAGACAGACATAATTTCTTCTTTAGTTACATAGTTGAAGTCCTGTAATTGTTGTTTCGAGAATCCCGACTAATTTGTAAGTCGAAATTTTTTCGTTTTCAGTAACCTCTCTGTCGCTTTCTTCACTATCAGTAGTAGTATTTTCTGGATACTACAGATTCCGCCATTCGTTAATTGATTGATGATTGAGGAGCATTGTCATCACAATGAAGAACTTCTTTTATATCATCTTCATTTATTACCTCTTTCCCACATTTCTTTACAAAATTCGTTAATTGGAAAATTTCACTTTTGGTTTGCGATGTTCTTAAAGCTTTAAAATTCGCGGCTACCATCATAAAATTCAGCTATCATTCACTATACATATTTGGCTATATATCATGAGATTGGTGACAAGTTGTTCCACTAAATTTTATCTTGCATCTATCATGCAATGAGACAATTATGCCTGCATTGGTTTAGTTTAGTTATTTATTATACTTATGTCTATTTCTTGCGCATGCTTAAGGCTTATCTAAGTTCTGAATAAATAAATTCCAATGTATACTTTAGACTAACGGAGGGCCGGCGCTAGATATCATTCTGCAAGGTGCTGTCTCTGCGGGTCCTAAATTCTGCTAACAAGCATCTTCCTTTGTTTTCTCTAATTTCTGCCATCTGTTGCAGCCATACAAGCCCTGGCGCTGGTTCTGGGTTTATGTGAATTACAAATAAGTTATTCTTAATTCAAAGAATACCAAATGTCATCTTTTGGCCTGTGAGTGTCATTAACAAAATCTTTCTTAGCATATGGAAAGAAATTTTTCGTTAACATTTGGTAGTACATTTACCGTAATTTCTGGAAGAAACGGCGCAGCGTTTACGTGTTTAAAACTTAAATTTTCAGCGGGTGCGGCATTTTTACCATTGCGGCCACTTAGGTGCACTTGAAAATAAAATATTTGCTAAGATGGTCGTTGTACATAGTTTGGATGACCTTGTCATTGTGCATAGACTGGTGCTGTTCCATACTAAAGACCACTCAGTTGCTTTCAGCGAACGTTTATTTTGTTTACATTCTTTCCCTGCAACGGAATAATAAGCCCCCTACATAAAAATAATAAGCCTTATTCACCCTAAATGAGATCTCAGAACAATAACATTCTTCCCTCTTTCAAATTCAGAATTTTTATCAGTTTGAATAGTCTATCTCCTTTGCCATGTTTGATGAATCTTCCAGGACCCATCCTCTCCCCACCCCTGCCTTTTCTGCAATTTTTTTCAAAGGCGGACACGACTCCACCTGCCTCGCAATAACGAAATTTCCTCTTCAGCATGAATTTCCTGACGTATTTCCTCTTCAGCATGAATGGATTTTTCTTGGCATTCTGCCAAATACAGATCCCATCAGTTTGGGTACAAGTACTTGTTGGATAGTTTTTAATTAGGGAGCGGAAAATTTTTGAAAATGTCTCTAAACGGCACAGAAGCTATACATTTGTTACCTTTAATTTATTTTTGAGTTATGATTTCATTTCATGCATTTTTCTTAACTGGTATGTCATATATCAGGACTTAGGTTGAGTTTTTGTATCTATACGGCCCACGACGATGTCACGTGCAATTTTATCTATTGCGGCGTTTACGCTGATGCGGCATTTCTGTGTAATTTTAAATTTTTTCCCGCCATTTTTCTCGAGTGCGGCGTTTACGCTGATGCGGCCTTTCTTCCGGAAATTACGGTAACTTAAATCTGTAATCATCGGCAAGTGTAATGTCAACATAAAAGGTTAGCATACTTTTTGTTATTTAATTACTAACATAAAAAGAATTTTTTTTAGGCATTGCTATATGAGTCATTACTCAAGTTGTCATGTGTTAATAAACATGCGGTGATGAAAGCAAAATATAATAAATAATGATTCGCCAGGTTGGCGTCAGGGGTATAAAATATTAGTAGGTGTCAATTCAACAATGTATCTACGTAAAATTTTTGGTTTCAGATGTAAGCCAAGCAGGCAACTTGGCAGTTTCAGAGCCAAATTCTTGATGATACAAATTTATGCTAAAATGATTGTTTCTTCAATAACGAGGTATTTTATTTAGTGTGGAAGTGAAATTAAGAATCGAGGCTCTCCACATGTTTTATTGTGCGTCGAGGGGAGGGGAATAAAACGTGCATGCGTAAAATATATGAAAAAAGTTGTTCGTGGCTTTGAGGTCCAGATTTTAGATCATTCCGGATATTGGACGTCTGGATCTCAGACTTTGTACTGTAATTGTCTTTCATCTAGGCATTTTATCCCCTCCAATAAGACATCTTACTTTTGTTTTGTCTTCAGTGTTCTGCTGTCTTTGTGTTACTTTTTTTTTAATACATCCTTTCTTCTAAATTGATCAGTTGGCTTCATTAATTCATATATTTCCATTCAAATCAAAATATACATCAACATTATTATAAATATAAAATATAAGAATCATTTAAATTGTACAAATATGTTGGCAAAAATAATTGCCTTTAGCCAAAACAACACATGGAGCTAAAATTAAAAGCATAAGTAATTAATTATTTAAAACAAAAGTAAGATGTCTTATTGGAGGGGAAAAATTCCTAGATGAAAGATAACTACAGTACAAAGTCCGAGATCCAGACGTCCAATATCCGGAATGATCTAAAATCCGGACCTCAAAGCCGTGAACAACTTTTTTTTGTATGTTTTACGCATACGCGTTTTATTTCCCTCCCCTCCGATGCATAATAAAACATGTGGAGAGCCACGATTCTTAATTTCACTTCCGCACTAAATAAAATACCTCGTTATTGAAGAAACAATCATTTTAGCATAAATTTGTATCATCAAGAATTTGGCTCTGAAACTGCCAAGTTGCCTGCTTGGCTTACATCTGAAACCAAAAATTTTATGTAGATACATCATTGAATTGACACTTACTAATATTTTATATCCCAGATGCCAATTTGGCAAATCATTATTTATTATATTTTGCTTTCATCACCACATGTTTATTATGTTATTAGTTCCGAGTTCATAGGCTGCTATGAACATACTCATGAAGAAATTTGCTTTAAGATACACAAAAAGGTGAACACATTCTTAAAATTTGTCCATTTTTTCCGACTTATCATTTTGGCCCAGGAAACAGGAGAAGAGAGAGGTTACCTGTAGGATACATTGCAAGTTAAGTAGTTTTAAGCTATTCTGAAAATGCAAAAAAATGTGGAG